ATTTTGATCATTTGAAAGGCACTTGAATGCCAAATTTGTAATAGTTAGGTATTTATTATTTCATTTCATATTCCCCTTTTAGATTGTAGTAGGCCCCCCCCTCAAATGTAATAGTTAGGGCTTGTTTATTTTGTGTGTTTTGCATTCTTATGTGCTATGTGTTACCGCTTTCCCTAGGTTTCTGCATCTAGATAAGCATGTTGCGTGCTATGTGAAAATATGTGTCTTGCATGTCTATTTGCTTTTAGTATTATATCTAATTATGTGGATGGAATGCACGTTATCGTGGCTAGTTTAATGCTAGTCATGGTCTTCCCCTCGAGCTCTCACAAGTCCAATGCTTGTGAGAGAGCGTTAGTAAAGGGCTAGTCCAATGCTAGACCCAATAGGGCCACCTCTCGCTAGTACATACTCGCATGCCTTCACTACATTTCATTCATTTTTTCCTTTTAGCATTTTTACATTTTTGCATGAACCTCTACCCTTTTCCCGCATTTGAAACACGATCTTTCGAACTTTGCATTTCATTCTAGCTATTAGGATCATCTGCTTGATTAGGTTAGGGAGTCACCCTTCTGGTAAGGGAAACAGATGAGTTTGGCTACATATAGCCTTGGCACGCTTGTTTTCTTTCTAACTAAAAGGCAAATCAAAGGTCACGATTTAGGGTCTCCCCGTACCCGTCTTGCTTGTATTTCTCTAGGGCTCATGCATTTCCAAAGCACATTACACATTTTCACTTTTCACATTTTTACTTCACACACTATCACTTTATACATTCTCACTCTTTACACTATCACTTTACACTCTCTCACATTTGTACACGTACACTTTTACATACTCATTTGCACCCTTGCACTTTACACACCCATTTGAGCATTTGCACTTTGCACACTTGCACCTGGCACTCATTTTTACACTCAAAGACATTTTTCGTACACACTCATTTTTCCTCATTATTACTCAAGCATTCATTTGCATTTATTCGTGACCTCTTTGAGGGTTCACCATTGACTATGACAATTCATGTGATTAGAACCAATCGAGCCTTTAAAGAGAGATTTTATCCCTTTCAAACCACTCATTAGATTTAGGTTTACATTCATGTTAGACGCATCCAAAATGCAATACATCTTTTGGGTAGAAATAGAAAAATTGTCACTAAATCACGCAACTAACTTACGCTAGGGTAAAAGGGTGCCTTAGACTTTGTCTTTGCCTTCCCTTTTATCAACCGTGACCCCTGAACTCGTCTCTTTGATTTTCGTAGATTAGGAGTCATCTAAAAAGATTTTTGCTTCATTTTTCAAAAACTACTTTTTGGGTCACTTGGTACACCCCAACGTAATACCAAGTGGTGACTCCTACTTTTATGTTTAAAAACCTTTTTAGATTATCATTTTGGTCAAACCGTCGCATTTAAAAAGTCCCATGGCCTTTCCCTTTGTTTCTCACATTCACACACTTCACACATTTCATGCACACTACGCATTATGATTTCAAACAACTTTATTTTCCTTTTTCTCAAAAAAAATGGGGCGCGACAGCTGGCAACTCCACTGGGGACTTCCTAAGTGGGTCCGAGCACTTGATTTAGTTATTCTTTTTCTCTTCTACCCTTTTTATGTATCGCATTTGGATGTTTAGGGTTGCATTTTTCTTTTTTTTAGGTTTTTTGCATTTCGCGTGTATCAACTCACTCTCTTACCCATTTGCGTACGTTTGATTTGATGGATGGATGGTTCATTTATGTTATCCCGCGCTTTGCATTGCATTTGGGTGGGGGGATATTACCCTAGAGTCTCGCGTTGGTTCTCGATCCCTCCTCTCCAAACGGAGCACTAGCATACGTGCATACGATTTATTTTTTTATCCCTCATTTATTTTTCTTTTAGTGGCTTGTCACGCCACTCTTTCCTATTAGGATTAGGCGACCCACTTGGATGTGTGCTCGCGACACGATGTGTGCGTAGTATGATCCGAGGGGTCACTCAATCTTCCATTCTAAGATTTGGGTTGATAGCCTTTAGCTTTTTGTTGAAGGTTGAGGATTTTTTATAGATTCACTCAGACATGTAGCCATGACACGATGTGTGTGTAGTAGTGTTTGGGGAATCGCTTGAGCCACCAACAAAGAACCTTGGGATTGATGACCTTTGGTTTCCAAGTCTGAAGGCTCTGGGACCTAAAACCTATCGAGTCTAGATGCATTAGTGAGCCAATACCTCATGCATCCATGATAGTTGACCTAGGGTAGAGTCTGCCTTACCCTATTAGGGACACTATTAACGAGGGGAGGGATCTAACCCCTCTTTTTCTTTTATTGCTTTATCTCTTTGTATTACTTTGCTGCAATGTGTTATGTGTATTTATCAGATTAAACTAACTTTTCTTGGGTTTTGTCTCCATTGCATTCATAAGCCCTAGAAAATAAGAGTCCTGGCATGGTACTCTCTAAGAGCCACCCTGTTATAACACGTTTAAATGCATTGCATTTGTAGCGTAATAACATATCATTTTAGGCTTACTCCGGCAATTAAAAGGGGATCCCTTTAGGTTACATTTCATATTTACTTGATTTGATAAAATGGCATCATGCATAAACCCTAGAGAGGGAATGCCACGTAGGGAATCCCGTTTTAGGAATAAAGCTACCTCGTGTCTCGGATATTTAATCCAAGGAGACTTGCACGTTTATATTTCTTGTATTGTCCGAAGGGGTAGTGCACAAGGTAAGGTAAGGATCCGATCTTTTTGAAGATAATAGAGCAATTTTTTGCACGTTAGAATATGAACATCTAATAATCATTTTTTGGCCATTTTATCAAAATTGGTAAAGAACCCCTTGCGTAAAGGACATTAAATTGAAGAGATTCACAAATAATTCCTCGTTGATTGGGACGATAAATATATTGAGGCCAAATCTTGATTTTGGAAGGCTCATAGACTAATGCATTGCAATGAATTTTTTGAAACTACCAATGCGTAGACAATTCAATCAATTTTTGAATAAATCATCAATTCCATTCAATCCATTGGACCATTTTATTCATCAATTTCATCCAATCCATTTTTTAATTCATTCATTTTTAGGACATCCAGTCATATTTGAACAAATTACTCATTTTTGGATAAATCATTAACTCCATTTCATCTATTTGATTAATTCATTCACTCTTAGAATAATTTAGTCATTTTTGGATAAATCATTAACTCAATCCATTCACTTAGTTTTAGGACGATTTAGTCAATTTTGAAATAAGTCATTAATCTCATCCATTTTATCAATTTATTCATTTTTTGATCAATCCGGTCAATTTTGAATAAATTATCTGTTTGGCCAGTTTGCCCATTTTTAGGATGATCTAACCAATTTTGAATAAATCATCAAATTCATTTTGTCAATTTATTCATTTTTAAGACAATCTAGTCAATTTTGAATAAATTATCAATTTCATCCTATTCATTTGACCCGCTTATTCCCTTTAGAGTTTAAGTATAAGGTTCACTGAATAAATTAGTCGAGACATTGTAATCCTTTCAAGAGTAGACTCTTTTACACATCATTTATGTGTTGATCAAAGCAAGCAATTCAGACTTTGTCCTCATTTTTAGGACAAATGTCTCTTCTCACTCCAATTGACCAAATTTGTTAAAATTATTTTTCACTCAATAAGTTGGTCGGATTCATCAGGTATGGTATAGTGCCTACCTTAGAGAATTACATCATGTTAGGCCTACCCTTGGCACAAAAAAGGCCCCCCCAATAGGACATGCATCCGAATTCCCTCAATATATACTAACTCGTGTCTTTTTCTTTTTCTTCCTTTTCTTTTTGGCAGCAGTTAATCAAAGGGGAATCTAAGAAGGGTTTTTCTAAATTTTCACATAATTGCAAACATAGTTACAAAAAGAAGCCTCATCATTACACGATCACATAATCAAGTTTCGAGAAATCGTGTAAACATGAGTACACATCCCGAATCATCTGATAGGCCTGCAACAACATCAGCAACTGACTTGGCGAATCTGGGAGCTCAGCTGAGCGAAGTTCTAAACTGATTTAATGAGCTAAGCGTTGAAATGATGGCCCAACGGCGCGTGATCGATCAATTGGTCACTGGTGGTACTAGCGATGAGCAACAACATGAACCCTTACCCCCTGGCCAATCTGAACCAATACTCTTACCTTATACTCAAACCTCTATTACTTCACAAGTTATAAATTCACCTGAAGAAGCCTTTACCTATCCCACTCATGGCCTACCACTTACTTATGCACCTAACATCCAAATTAACCCTTCTCATGCCCAAATTCCCCAGAATTATCCGCCAATCACTATGAGCATGCCATTTGAATCTCAGGGACCACATTATTATTCCACCGCTGAGCCATTCACCTTAGATACCGCCGCCCAAGGGAAAGCTGAAGCTGGGGAGTCATCCACGCCGGTGGATAAGAATTTGCTAAAGAGATTGGATCGGTTTGAGGAGTTTATAAGGAAAAGCCAAGGTCTGAGCAAACAAGGAAGTCTGGACTACAACGAGCTATGCCTATTTCCGGATATGCAATTGCCAATGGGTTTTAAAGCACCCAAATTTACCAAGTACGACGGAACTAGCAATCCCAAAACACACCTTCGGATGTTTGCAAACAAACTAGGAAAGCCGATAGATGATGAGAATCTACCTGTGCATTTATTTCCCGAGAGTCTAGAAGGCGACGCGTTGGATTGGTATTCAAATTTGAAGCCTGAGAATATGAGGTCTTGGATGGATTTATCAACTGCTTTTGTAAGACAGCACGAATACAATTGTGAGCTTGCTCCAACGAGGACCACATTGGAGGGAACTAAGAGAAAACCATCGGAGAACCACAAGACGTATGCAAAGAGATGGAAGAAATTGGCCGCCAAGGTGGAGCCTCCCATGACTGAAAATGAAATTGTTCGTACGTTTATCAAAACCCATGACCCCCTTACTTTGAGGAGATTTTTCGAATGACTGGGTGCTCCTTTGCGAAGATTGTCAATAAATTGGAAGAATACGACGAGTTTATGAGGGCAGGAAAAATTGTTAATGTTTCCGCTTTAAAGTCACAGTTGGAAGCTATGCAGAGTCAGAGTAGCAGTAGTAAGAAGGCTCAGTTTAAGAAGAAAGACGAGGAAGCCTCCTTTGTCTGGAACCAAGGCTCTTCTTCCCAGCCTAGATACCAACAAAACCCTGCCTATTCACCTCGTTACTTATACCAACCACGTCCTCGCCCTATTTACAATACCACTATTAACCACCCCCGACCTCGATCAAATTACCCGAATACATCCTCAACACCATTTCACATTCCTCCGCCTAACTTTCAAATTAGACCTCGCCCTCCTTATAACCCAAGACCTGTCCCATCCCCCAACCCGAACTACCACTACCCACAAACCAGTGACACCCAAAATCCACCCACATACTGAACCTTTACCAATTTAGGTCAGCCTGTTGATCAACTATATGGACAATTGAAAGCTGCTGGAAAAATTGGTACAATACCTCCGAAAACCTATCCTAAAGGGTTTCCTGTGGGTTATGATCCTCAGTCGTTCTGTGCCTACCATTCGGGAGCCCCTGGACATTCAACTGCTAATTGTTGGGCGCCTAAGCATAAAATTCAAGACATGGTCGAGGTCGGAGACATAGTCCTGAGGAGGAGGGAGGAACAAGGTCCAAATGTTAGCAAAAATCCTCTTCCTACACACAAGGACACCGTGGGAGTTATTACTATTGATGAAGAGATTGAGGAACCTACACAATTTATTATAGACGAAGTTGAGACAGTAAGGGTCATTGAAGAACCGTTCATATTAGAGGAAGGAGCTTATGAAGTCAAGAAAAATACGGGTCCATTTATTCTGGAAATGGTGCCTTTCGAATGTGAGCCTTCGGAGCTGGTGGTACTTGAATTGCCTGAGCAAGCTCCTATTCTTAATTTGCAAGAGGTCCCATGGAATTATAGCGAGCCTACACTGTTAATTGGAGGAGAAAAGGTGCCCAAGAAGGAAGTGGATGCCATTATTAGATCTGGAACAATCATAGGGGAACCCGCAGTTGATGAGCCCTCAAAAGCGAAAGAAAATGATGTTCTGACAAAACCAACTGTGACTAATGAAGAGGCCTTTAATTTCCTTAAGATGTTGAAGAAAAATGAGTATAAGGTGGTCGAGCAATTGGACAAGATGCCCGCTCAAGTTTCTATATTGAATTTGCTTCTAACCTCGGAACTTCATCGAGAAGCTTTGCTCAAGGTTTTAACTGAGGCTCAAGTGCCTAAGAATATTCCTGTGGATAAATTCACTCATGTAGTCAAACATGTTTTGGCTTCAAATCAAATTTCTTTTTCTGATGAAGATTTGACTTTGGATGGGATTGGACACAATAAAGCATTGTATATCTCGGTCCGTTGTAATGGGAAGTTATTGCCAAGGGTCTTGATAGACAATGGATCTGTTCTTAATATCTGTCCTTGGAGCACTTTGGTTAAGTTGGGATTTCAGGAAGCTAAACTTCAGCTGTCTGCCACTGTGGTGAGAGGATTTGATGGCTCAAAAAGGGAATCAATGGGGGAAGTGGATTTAGTGCTGGAAATCGGACCTGCCCAGTTTCAAGTTATGTGCCAAGTCATGGACTTCTCGAGTGTTTATAATGTTCTTCTCGGACGACCTTAGATTCATACTTCAGGCGCTGTACCTTCTTCACTCCATCAAATGTTGAGATTTGTGGTGAACGGCCAGTTGATTACGATATTTGCTGAGGAAGATTGCACTATGATCGTTAATCCTACATTGGAAGATGATGGCGATAGAAAAGCTCTGGTTTCCCCTCACCATGTAGCTGAGATTGTTTCGGTGGGTAGGGCATCCAAGGATAAGGCGGCAATGGAAATGAATTTACCTGAAGCCAGCGTTATGATGGCTAAAGAGCTTATTCGAGGAGGTTATGAAATAGGCAAGGGCCTTGGGCGTAACCTACAAGGGGTCTTGGAGCTAATAAAGCTTCAAGGAAAGAAGGATACCTTCGGATTAGGGTTTCAACCTACTGCCAAGGATAAGAAAGAAATGATGAATCGTAAGAGGGCAGAGAAGGAAGGGAAGCAACTTATCATGAGCATCCCACCATTGTACTGCACTTTTCCTTATCCATCGGAGGTGATTAGACCTGAAGTGGACCCGATTGAGGCAGTGGATATTGGATTATCTGAGCTATTTGTGGGGGTTGCTGCTGAGGGGAAGCCATTGGAGGACCCAGGATTTCCAGAGGTGCCTATTGAAGCAATGACGAACTGGACTAGTGATCTCCTTCCCTCCTGCAGGGAATTTCGGTAAATTAGGGGATTGCCTTTGGTCGACATGAGACAAATCGTTCACATTGCTTATCTTTTGTCTTTCAAGTTTGTAAATAGTTTTTAATCAAATGTTTTCTAATGCAAGTCTTGTGTCGACATGAGCTCTTTCCTTGCCTTCTTCATCTCCTTCTTCATCTTTGCCTAGCTAATAAACAAGAAGGATGAATTACTACTCTATACTAAACTAATCTAACACTAAGAGAATGGAAAAGCTACATTTTTGCAGACTCCAAGCTTCTCCCGTATATCCTCTTAGACCTCCCAAATGTCTTTGCATATAAACTACTCCAAAGCTCATTTTTCACTGGTCAAACTTTCCACACTTGATTCCCAAATCTGAAATTGTTAAGATAGTCAATAACAAATGTTTTTGACTTGAAAATAAGCCACCTTTCTTGCCCTTTTATCTTCTGAAGCATGTGCACCGAATTCCCTTGCAACTTATAGCTGGAACGTAGTCTGAACACAAGAGAAATGGCTGAGCAAATTGCAGAATTTAGGCTTCAAAATGCGCCTACACAACATGTGGCTTGTAGTCGCGTTTTGTCAACTCGCGTTTTCAACTTGGCCTTGTTTTAACTTTGATTTTCTCTATGATGAAGGCCGAACTAGCTTTTGTACAAAACACAAACATTGTAGCCCTTTGAGTTAGCTTTACAATGCTTCAAGAATCATCCAAATCGGAGTTTTGTAGACTGAGATATGATCACAATACTATCACCTGGTTAGACCCCTGTTTCAATTTTCGACCACAGAATGTAGCTTCTGTATTCCAACTTTTTGTCCATGAAAACAGCAGAATTGGATTTAAGTGTCTTCATAATAATTGTAGGTCTCTTTCTTAGCTTTAAAATGGTATAAAGGTTACCTCAATCTGATAAGTTTAGCTCCAGATATAGTCAAAATACGAAAATGTGTCAGAGTTGTCAAAGCTGACTTTTCTTGATTCAAATTGCATTTCTCCTTTTACACTTCATATTTTATTTTCACCACTTTAATCCATCTTCAATCATACAAATATCTTCTTAATGTACTTCATTTGATGATTGAATCATTAAACCTACAAAATATGAAGTTTTTACCATAAAAATCCATAAAATGCAATGTTTAGCCACTTTAACATAAAATGTAGATTTTTACCAAAACCTTAGTTATTTTAGTTATAAAACTAAATAATCAAACCAAAATTAACTAATAGAACATACTAAAAATACGTAAAATATATTCTTATCAATATTCACGAGGTTTTTCCAGTAATTTTTCAGCATGAATGAGAAAAGAAGAATAAAGAAAAAAAAAAGTCGGAAGAATTCTAGATTAGGGTTGCTTATTAAACTTTTTAAAAGAGAATCTATGATCTAGACCCGTAACTATCCATATTAAATCCTCAGATTTTTTGAGACTAATTAAATTTCAGTTTTCATTCTTTTAATTCTTTGTTATGCAATTTATTCTGTTATTTTACGTATTAATACAAATTTTTGGGACACGTAACAGAATTTCAAATAGAAATACAAGGTTAAGCCAAAAAAATCTTGAATACCAAATGCAGGACATCTCATATGCCTGGGGTTGTGATGGTGTGTGTAGTTCAAAGAAATTTAAAAAGTCTTGGAGCAAACAGAATTTAGGATAAAGTTTCAAGACTTCAAAAAATATTTAAACTTTTAGTTTTTGTCAGGGAAACAAATAAATGTACCCCATATGCAATTGACGGGCGTAGGGTATACATATAACATTAAGCTCATCCTAATCAAGTTTTACATTTATAAACACCTAAATACCCCACATGCGATTTATCACAAGTATACGAATCGTGAGCGAGTATAGGGTATTAAGGGTTGATCCCACAAGAAAGATTGCAATTACCGGCACTACTAAAGCTTCTCTATTATTTAGACTATCAATGTATTATAAGAAATGAAACCTATTGAACTTATGCAAAATAACAAATGAAAGCTCCTTAGGTTATGGTATCCCTAACTACTCATGCAATTGCCATTTTTGGATCATTGAGTACTACTATCTAGGCTAGTTATGGTGTAATTTCTTTAAACATGTGAAACCTACTTTCGTAGTGAATCAACTATACTCATAACTAATCCATACCTATTCTCATGGTTATGAAATTAGTTACAAGTTCATTTCTTCAATGAAATTACATGAAATTAATCACTAAAACCACATAGGTGCACCTCTACTCTCGTGAGTGTACTTCCTATGTTTAGCACTTCTTGAACCAGTATTAAATCTCAATTTTCATTGCAGAAACAACACCTTAGATAATCACAACTAATGGTACCAGATTAATCATGATTTTAAAGAGCTAAAGTGCTAAATAACTTGCTCAAATCATAGCAATCAAATAGCCAAATAATAAACACTAACAATCATAGAAAGTTCAACCAATCCCAAGGCATAAACTCTGCCTTCTCTCTAAAAAACCTTCTCTCTAAAAAGCCTAGTTTCTTCGTGAAATCACTTAGTTGGCATGGCTGCCCTTCAGCCATCGGCTGAGGGGCAAAGGTCTCCTACAGAAAAAAAATCATTTTCTCAACTTTTCTCATAGCCTGCTACATCACCTATCAAAATTCAGCATGTGTCTGTTTACAAGGGTGAAGCTGCGGTTATTTTCTCCAGAGAAGATGTGGACAAACTTGCGGCACCGTTTAGATGGACTTTGGTTGGAAAATTTTCTCATGGAAGACCTTCATTGGAGGATACTCGCAAATTCTTTTCTTCACTAAATCTGAAAGACCAAGTTTCCATTGGTTTGATGGATTATAGACATGTTTTGATTAAGTGCATCGCTGAAGTAGATTTCAACAGGATTTGGATGAGAGGGATTTGGCAATTGGGTAAATATCCGATGTGTGTATTCCGATGGACCAGGGAGTTTCATGTTCATAAAGAGTCATCTCTGGCTCCAGTTTGGGTAGATCTTCCTAACTTACCTATTCATTATTTTGATAAACATTCTTTGTTCTCCATACTTTCTCCAGTAGGAAGACCTTTGTTCTTGGATTCGGCAACGGCTGCTGGGACACGACCTAGTGTGGCCAGGGTCTGTGTGGAAATTGATGTATCGAAGCAAGTTGTACCAAGGGTCTGGATAGCTGTTGAAGGAGAATCAGGTTTTTGGCAAAAGATAGTACCAGAGAATCTGCCGTCATACTGTTCTTATTGCTGGAGATTGGGTCATTTGTCTGTCGACTGCAAGAAGAATTTGACTGAGCCTCAATCCAAGCGGCTGCAACATGGTTTAAATTCACAAATCCACAAGGATTCAATACTAGTTACTAAACAAATGCATTTTACTAATGGGAAAGTTACTGATGAAGTGCCAGTTCCTGGTATGATTGAGGATGAAGGGACATCAGCCGATGCAAGGGTGAAGAATGGAAGATCTGTCCAGCTCGAAAACGAAAGAAAATTAATGGATACTGATGTGGGTTTAAAAACACAAAATGGGAACAATGATTTTTTGCCAGAATGTTCAGATCGTTCACATGAGCACAATACAATTTCTAATGAGAAAAATTCTGAGAATTTGACATTAACAGGTGTGGATGACAATGAAGGAAACACAACAGCGGTTACAATGATGCCTCCTCTATCTGTTCAACGAGCCATTGATCCAGAAACATCAGTGACCGAACATGGAGATACTGATGTGGGATTACAAAAACAAACATTGGATGCTGTTGGACAAGCACAACCCATTTCGGATGATGGTTTGAAGAACATTACCCAAGACCATGATTGTGAAGGGTCCCAGATGGTAATGGATGCTACTTTGACAGATTTACAGCAGCAAAGGGCCGAAACAAATGAAATGGCCGACACTCAAATAACTTATAATTTCAACAGCCATGATTGTGAGGGGTCCAAATCAATTGCAAAGCAATATTACGAAGCTGCTCAACATCACAAGGCCGACACTAATGCACTTAACAATCTTTATGTTGATTTGTGTGGGGCCGAGCCGGACAACTTCACTTCAAATATGACGAATGTAGTCATATTGCCAACTGGTGTTGGCGACTTATCTCCACGCCTTGTTGAAGCTCGTGACAAGTCCTTGGATCCATCAATAAATCCGTTAAACATTGACCAATCTGTTGTTGACGAGAACAATGGCCGACAAACGAGAGGCAAAGGTGTGCGGATTATTGTGCCATCTGATAGACAATTACGGTCCACAACATCTTTCCAAAACTCATTCCAGGTTCTTTCTAATGATTAGTGGTATCTTTTGGAATATTAGAGGGGTAGCTAAAGCCCCTAATTTAAGAAGACTGATTAAATTGGTACGATTTCATC